TTATTTATTATATTTATTTACCATCAGATGTTGCAGCTGCACCACCTTAAAAATTATCTCTGCATATTAAAGCTTATTCGCTTTAATATGCAGTTTTAAGTAATTAAATTAGGTATACGATAACCTTAGTCATTATGGATTTGCATGGCCACCATTAAATTTTATTTATTTTTTAACAATATTTGTTAAAAAAAGGCCCTATTAAAATCCCAATTTAATAAAATTTCACAGTTTAAAATACATGTAATTTATGACATTGATTCTTAAACGATATTCGGATTAGCACACATTAAAAGCTACGAAACATCTATGTTTTGTAGCAACAATACTCAACAAAATATTTATGCATCTTTTTAATTTGAAGCCATCCCAGACATTTTGGCTAATTTATATCAATTTCCTTTTCTTAAAGCACCTTTTCTAACAATTAGAAATTTGTCTCAGTACACAAAAGAATGCTCTCACTAGTTCCTGCATGTTTTTATCTCCTAACCTGTCAACCTGTCCACAATGTACCTATGAGGGTTTATTTGATTTGGTAAAAGTTAAAAATAGTCCAAAACATATCAACAGATAGCAAGCAAATTATCATCTGAAAGTAACTACAATGTCCGACAAAGGTTTACAGAAGATTCTTATTTATAAAGAACATCAAAAATAAAGGCATGTTCTTATGCTAACAAAATCAATTACAGCTCGTAGTGATGTAATGAAACAAGAAGAGTGAAATTCAAACTAAAAATATGGATTAGAGGTCAAAGACTATACAATTTAATTTCATTTTAGGCTGGCTCAAAAAATCTATCATCATAACAAACTCAAATGTCGGCAACGGTAATCCAAGACGAATAATTACAAATTATCAGAGCTGGCAGGAACTAATGCAGGGAGCAAGTGGAGGTCAGAAATACACTCTTGTCTTACATAATCAGCACGATTCACAACAAATCTCGGTTTAAAAACTGTCTACGTGATTTATTTGCATTCTGGGGAGAAAATGGAAACGGGAAATTATAGTAAGGGCTGAAATTGTAAACAATTGGGTAATTTACAGAATAATAACTGTACATATCTTTGAAGAATAATTTTGTTTTTCTTTATGCATTCAGTTTCTTTCTTCCACGTTTCCTTTTCATTTTAGAATTTCTGGATTTAGATAAAGAATTCTGATATTCTAAATAAATTAAATGTATTTAGAATGTATAGAAAAAGCTGCTAATTTCTATTTCTTTAGTAATATGAATATTCAGAAGAAATATGAAATATATATGGTAAGCTTCAGTTAGAGAGCTGATGTAGCATAACTTTTAGAATTTAGTGACACACTGAGCAACAGGGGCGTAGCTAGAGGGGGGCATCTGTCCCCAGGCGCAGAATCCAAGGGGCGCCAAACTGATGTTACGACATTTTAGAATTAAATGTTTTCCATCCTTGGCAAGCAGTAGGGGGCGCGAAATCTTGAGTTGTCCCTTGGCGCTGAAAACCGTAGCTACGACTCTGCTGAGCAATAAAGTCTAGAAATGGCAAAACATTTAGAATTTAGAACAGGCATTGGAAGCAGAATTTAGAAAGGCACCAGGCAGCAGAATTTAAGATCCACAGAGACTTCATCAGATGGGAAAATGCCTAGTGCCAGCCCTGTGTATGATGCATTAAGATATATTAGATTATCTTTTAAATTGTCAGTTTTCAATATCTTTATTAATAAAAGAATTCCTTTCTATTATGCCAATCCATATAATAAAAAGCACTTTTGATATTTTCCATGTTTGTGTCTAGTGAAAAGTAGTGAAAATAAAGGGAAGATTAAAATGTTAAGAAAAAGATTCTAGTATCAGAAGTAAAACATTCAACTATAATATTTTCATTGTTCTTCCAGACATTCTCCAAATAGTAAAAAATTACGTGTTAATACTATGGAGACATTTTTCATTTTGTCACATTTTTCTGGAATCTGCTGGAATCATGGGCCTATAAATCTTGCCTTTATATCTTTCTAAACTTTTCAAGCTGCAATGTCTAAAATCCTAAAAAAAAATTACCCCTATCAATTCCATAACAGCATTAAGCCAGAAATACTTGGAAAAAAAAAATCGGAGGAAAAAAGTGTAAAATTAATTTTATAGAGAAAAATAGGACTTAATTTCTGAAATGAAATGTGCAGGAGCCCCTTGGAACACCGTCAGGAAAGAGGTACAAAAATAAATAAAAATGGATAATAAAATCACTAATAATTAAAAAATTAAATATTAAAATAATTCAATAATTAATGCTTAAAGAAATTAATAGTTTAAGTAATATAATTTTATTACTAAAAATATAATTTTCGATATCAAATTTCTACTGAAATTTTGTTCAGGTACAAAAAAGAAGTGTCACAGCTTTCTCATTTAGGGCTCCGAGTAGAATTATGATTTATCCCCAAAACTAAGAAGTAGCGCAGCAGGGCTCGGGTGCAATTTAAGCTCTGGAGAAAACTGATGTATATTTTAAGAATTCTGAATATTCTAGGACAATTACAGAGGCAACTCTTACCATGAAAATATTAAAAATATGTTTTTAATTAATTACATAGCTAGTTTGCTTTTGCTAAGAACTGTTTCGTAAATGGTACTTCACAGCATTATACCTTGCTTATTTTCCACATATAATAAATGGCCAAAATGGAACTTTATAATATCACGGCAAAAATAAAAATGCTTTATTTTAATCTTATCTCATAAATATAATTAAAAAATATTACCATTATTTAAATGAGATTTATCAATGTTACAATGTTATAAAACAAAAACTGCTGAAAAATTACTAGATCTCGGAATTAAAAATTTTCTATAGAAACACATCTTAAAATCGCCAAAATTTTGATAAGTCGCCAAATTTAGAACGGTTTAATTAAAGAATTCACATCCCCAAAAGCGAAAAGTTGTTTAAGAGTTCTTTATTAGAAAAAAATTAAATAATTTCGAAATGCTTATGTTTCACTTCTTGCTCAGAAACTCGAGTATCCCACCATTTATATTAGAAAAAGGAACAATTATAACTCATGAACCCATTCAAAAAATAACCTTATTTGTTAGCAAATCGCCAAAAATACAGGGTGTTTATAAAGTCCCAGACCCATTTTGATGTTTAATAACTCATAAAATAATGAAGACATAACTTATGGCATTTATTGATGGAATAACTTATATATTTTCCTTTTCAGGTTTGAATATCTTTACTTTTGTAAATATCATCTGCGCATGCGGTTAATTTCAGATAATTTCATTTTCCAGTCTAAATATCTGTACTTTTCTAAATATCATCTGCTTATTAATTGCATTTTTTTGTCTTTTGTTTTTGGCAACTATTGCAATGTTATGTTTACTTTTGATGTGTTTGTTCTAGTACGTTTGTATGTGATGTTTTATTCCAGAATTTATGCCAGAATTACAACCGAAATAGCCTATGTGGATGCCGACATGCTTGCCGGTACCTGACATGAAATTGAATATCGACTTGATATTCTCCGCACGACGAAGGGGGCACACGTGGAAGTTCATTGACAAGGGTCATGAAACTTTTTGAGTCTATCTAACCATATATGTTATTAATTTTAATCTATCTTTATTATTTTATGAGTTATTAAACATCAAAATGGATCTGGGACTTTCTAAACACCCTGTATTACTCCAAAATGTTAATTCACACTCAAAATGGCAGTCGTAAAAACAGACAGAAATTTCAGACGATTAAAATTAAGGACCTTCTGATGAGTATGGTATTGTGCACTTTTTCCCAATTTTGCAGTGAATATTTGTCATGATTAAGCAGTTTTGTTTGATAAAATTTCTAGCATAAGTGTAATTCGGCTAGTAGATTGTTGGAAGAAGTGTTCAGTAAGATAAAAGAAAAGAAACATGTCTTTAACTTTTTCGGGAAGACAAAATGGCGGCGGGAAAAAAAAAATAGAGGGTTGCTGTAGGAGAGTTGGTTGCCAAATTTTCGCCAAGTTACCATAATGTAAAGATCAACCCTTGATTTATCAGATAAAACTGTTATAAATTGGAACACAGAGAATAAACCAAACAAGAATGTAGGTGGACCAGACTGCATTGTGGAAATTGATGAACATTTGTTTATTAAGTGTAAAAATAATTGTGGTCGAGTATTACCCGAACAGTGGGTGTTTGGTGGTATATGTAGAGAAACAAAAGATTCGTTTGTTGTCACTGTTCCTAATAGAACTGGCTCTACCCTTCTTAATAAAATTATTGAAAAGCAGCACAATTTATTCTGACAGTTGGAAAGGTTATCAAACAAATAGAATAGAAAAAGGATTCCTACATGCTAAAGTTAATCAAAAATACAATTTTATTGATCCTGATACAGGAGTTCATACACAAACAGTTTAGAGAATGTAGGGCAGTGCTAAATGCAGGAACAAAAGACATAGGGGGACAGCGAGACATCATTTAGAATCTTATTTATATGGCGACATCATTGGGTACTTATTTATATGGCGGCATCATTGGGTACAAATAGAGACTTTTGAATTTAAGTTAAACTCTATATCGACTCATTTTCACCAAAAAGTGATTGAATACTTTGATTTTAAATAAAGTGTTTTGATTTTTGAAAGTATTTTGATTTTAAATACAGCGTTTTAATTTATAATTTGTCACAAGAATTTTAGGTGTAGATTGGCGGCACTTAAAAACTGCCAAATCTGCAGCTGTAGTGGTACCGAAAATTTTATCATAAAGCCTAGAAGAAAGTACAGTTCAGTAGCACTTTACAAACTTTATTTTAAAACAATATCTTGTAGTAGTGACAAATTTACATACAATGATTGAATCTTAGCACACAATAATACAACGAAAAATATTATATAATAATATTCCAGAATAGTTTAAAATCATAACAACACATAAAGTACTTCAAATTAATATGAAAACTTTTAATTATATATGTAAAACAAATAAAATAGACAAAAAGTTGATAAAAAATTACATTTTTACCTGTACGTATGTTTCTTTCTTTCAATAAAGCAGACAAACTTTTCACTTCATCAAAGGAATTGAAATGGTGTTCTGATTGATGTAAGCCGTACATTCCATTTTGATGTTGAGGCAAACCCGTTAAAATAGATGAACGACTGGGTGAACAACTACTTACAGATGTAAAGGCATTACGGAATATTGTACTTCTAGAAGCTAATTTATCCAAATTAGGAGTTTTACAAATTGGATTCCCATACACTTGCGTTTCGAAGCCACCATCATCCACTAAATTTTTAATAAAGATATATGCAATGTAAGAAATGACATCTTCTTCAAAAACAGGAAAGGAGTTTAAAAATATTTTGTGTTAACAAACAATGGAATCAAGAGGGCCAAGTTGGTCCAAATTGTAATACAGTACAAAGTCCGTAATCCAGACGTCCATTATTCAGAATAATCTATAATCTGGACCTCAAAGCCATATACTTACGCATACGCACTTGATATGCACGTCCGCTACGCATGCGTGTAAAGCCAGTAAAGTGTTTACCCATGCGCGCTTCCGATAGTGAAGAGAGTTACATTGAAAGAAATGTTTAATAAAGTAAACAAATAAATATTATGCTTTTTCTTTTGTAAATTTTGATACCCTTAGATCATAATTGCTCTTGATTTCATAAATTACGATTTCATATTTTTAATTGTATAATTTCTGCATGCCATCTGAGCAGATTTAAATTGATGATCTATAATCAGGAAAAACTCCTAATCCGGAATCGCTGAAGTCCCAACGAGTCCGGATTACAGACTTTGTACCGTATTATTAATTGACAACACTTACTATGATTATTATTTATACTGTCTACCATCCAAAATTCAAAACAATAAAGGAACCATACAAAAGGCTTGACATCAGCTCCATGAATAGACCTGGTTAGGACTAAAAATATATTTAAGGGTACGCCTTGCGAATAATTAGCAACTGGCCAGCAAGGCACAATTTCAAGATGGCTGTTACACAAAACCAAAATAACAAGTCAAATAATTGCACAAACTCGGTATCCATGTACACATCGATCTATTTTCGCTTCAAAAAACATCAGAGAATTGCACAAACTCGGCATTGGGCACTCTCTTGACTTTGTGCGGTAAAAGTATATCTTAGGGTACCCCTTGGCGAAACTTGGCTATTTTTGGCGGTACATGGATACCGAGTTTGTGCAATTCTTAAACTTATTATTTTGGCTTGCATAACGGCGATTTTTGACAAAATAAAAAAATTAAGAATTGCACGAAGTCGGTATCCATGTACACATCGACCTATTTTCACTTTAAAAAAATCCCCAAATTACACAAATTGGCATTGCACATTCCCTTGGCTTTATCCATGTACACATCGACCTATTTTCACTTAAAAAAAATCCCAAAATTACACAAATTGGCATTGCACAAACTTGCATTGCGCACTCCTTTCACTTTGTCCATGTACACATAATATACAATCAAAAGTCTTTAATCCGGACTGTCGGACTTGTCGGGACTTTGGCGATTCCGGATTATCGGTTTTTCTGAATTATAGATCATTAATTTAAATCTCATAAGATGGCATGCAGAAATTATAAAATTAAAAATATGAAACCGTATTTATGAAATAAAGAGCATTACGATCTAAGGGTATCAAAATTCACAAAAAAGCTCAATTTTATTTTGTTTAACTTTATTAACATTTCTTTCAACGCGCGCATCGTAAAGCATACATTACGCATAGTCCGAAATTAGAAAATTGCAACCAGAAACTATTTGATGTGTATTCGTGATATTTATAATGCGATAATTTGATTTGAATCATATCAAAAACGGAGTACATCGAGATAAAATACTACATTTAGTAAGGAATTATAAGCCGAATAAAATAAAAACATCTGCTCTGAAGATAAGGATAGTGCTGACAGATCAACTTCCAGTTTAATGCGCACCGCGACGTCCCCCCCCCCCCCGAGCAGGTGAAATTCATAACAGATTTCGGAATGGTTAGAGAAACAAATAATATGCCTTTATCCATTTTTTGCAGCAATTCCACTTTTTGTTTGATGGACATTGAAACATGCTTTCGCTTTGTAGATCCTTTGGCAGCTCCAGAATCGAAAATTCTTTTTGACATAATCGAAAGTTCAAGCTTAGTTTTATAAAATTGCTCTAACAGTCTGCAAAAAATAATAAGCCGGATCCAATTAGAAGATTAAGGAACAACGCAATTTGCAACATAAACTGAAATAGATAATTTTAGCTTAACTTATACCATCCATTACATTAAACGCATTATGCGCATGCGTAAATGTATATGCACATGAATAAAGGTATTATGCGCATGCGTACTTTGTAGCTTTGAGGTCCGGATTATAGATCATTCCGGATTATGGACTTTTGACTGTATTTTCACTTAAAAAGTCAAAGGAGCACCCAATTCTACAATACAGGCAAACAAAAAATACATAATCTCAATAAACTACATGGGTATAGTAGACTTTAAGATGGCGAAGTTGTTGTTTGATTTATGGTAGCTTGAGTAGTTGAATGTTATGGAAACCCTATTGTGATTAATCGGTGCATGATTCTGGGAATTTTTGAATCATGGATGTTTTGTAAGTGTTTTTGTGGTGTGTGTTAAAACCATTTAGATGGATTTGAATGGGTTTTAGGAAGAAAGGCTCAGATGGTCACTATGTAAAGCGTTCGATCAGAACGAGTACCTGGTTTGAAAAAGTCATTTGAGTATGATTGATATTTTTTTTACGTGGCTCTGGGTGTACGAAGCGACTCGAAAATCATGGTAAGTGATATTTGCTTTTGGTAGTGCTTAAATGTATAACATTTTTTCCTTTTTTATGTTTATTTTATTGTTTGGTTAAAAGTTTTATTGAGATTAATGTTTTTTTGTTTGCTATATTGTAGACTTTGGTGCTCCTTTGACTTTTTAAGTGAAAATATATCAATGTGTACATGGACAAAGTAAAGGGAGTGCACAATGCACGTTTACCTTTCTTCCTACAAACCCATTCAAATCCATCTAAACAGTTTTTATGCTCGACTAGATGCATATCCTTCCTACATTCAGGACACTAATAATGACTACTAAGTAAACCTTCATTTACACACCAGTCAATTAACGCTCTTTTCCCCTTTCATTCCAAATCATACAGAAACTTCAAATTAATCTTACTACATTCAGTCATTCTACCGTCTAAACAATAAAACCAACACACACAACAAAAGCGCCTACAAAATATTCCATGATTCAAAATTTCCCAGAATCATGCACCCGATTACATCACAATAGGGTTTCCATAATATTCAACTACTCAGGCTACCATAAATGAAACAACAACTTGGCGATAAATTAAACAACAATTTCGCCATAATAAACCTTGTATTATGGTGAAATTGTTGTTATGGCAAAATTGTACCTTAAAGTCTACTCTAACCCTTTGTATACATCAATATATTTTCCCTTAAAAAAAAAATCAGGAGAATGACGATGTCACGTAATATTAAAACAAAGCTACTTATCACCACAAATGACAAAGTTTGTAGCCAATCGAAGCTCAATAAACTGCAATTTTAAATCCCACAATGAAATAACATAAAAAAAGGGGCTCAAGTGCAGAATCGCCTACTTATATGGCACGTATTGATGTGTACATGGACAAAGTCAAGGAAGTGTGCAATGCCAAGTTTGTGCAATTCTCTGATGTTTTTTAAGTGAAAATAGGTCAATGTGTACATGGATACTGAGTTTGTGAAATTCTTTGACTTGTTATTTTCAAGTCGGTGATTTTGAGAAATGTGCGAAGTAGTGGGCGGATCTGCACTTTCCTCCCCAAAGAAAATACATATATACGCACTATAACAAAGAAATATTGACTTGTCATATTTAGAAATTTTGGCTGATCTTTGGAATATGGTAACTGGTAGTTTGGCGACGTTTTGGAGGCAATAAAGGTTACTACCTAGGACTTTGGTAATAATGTGAGAAGCACTCAGTTCCGATTACGCATTATTTTGTGTGAGGGAAATGAGAGATCATGAGATATGTCATGTGACATTAATGGACGAATTACAGTTGTTTAATCGGAAAAGGGGGAAATCTGGAAATTTCATATTTAGCTATATTCTGAGTTGTGTGAAACGTGATATTAATGGATGAATTACAGTTCTTTAATCGGAAAAGGTGTTAATTTGGAAAAGCTTCATTGTGTGTTGTGTGAAATAGTGTTGATTAATTTTCGGATTGCATGGCGCTATGTAAAGTGAATTATAAATTTTTAATGCATTTATCTGATAATAATAATAAGTTGAGATTGTGTGAAAGGAAGGATATTACAAGTTTAAATGGCGGTGCAAGAAATATGGTGAAAATGGACATTTTGTGAAAAGGAGTGTAAGGAAGGGTACGTGGTTTGCTGAAAGTAGTTTGAGTATAGGTGAAATTTTATTAATTTCTTATTACTTGGTAAATAGACTTTGAGTTGACTACTGGATTTAGGATTTAGAAATTAGCAGTAGTACTGCAGGACGTAATGAAGATCTGAAGAAGATTAGGTAAGTTAGGTATTTTTAATCATTTAAGGATATTATTTTTATGCATTGTTCTAAATGTAAGGAGTAAATAAATTAAAATGGTATTATTTGAAATTGTTATTAGCAATGATTTAGTTTAAAGTAATTAGGATTGTAATCTAATTTTTTATTAATTTAATGTATGTGCTTATTTATATTTTAAGTATGTTTTTTAATTAATTATCTTTAATTTAATGATCGTGATTTTGTGAGTTATATGTTTGTAGTGTTTTGGAATATGTTTTGAGTAGTATACGTTGGGTATTTTCATGCATTTTTGTGAAATTTTTCTAATTTATGAGAAAAAAGCAGTGTACATGGATATAGTGAAGAGTGTGCGCAATGTCATTTTTGCGCAATTCTGGGATGTTTTTTTTAAGTAAAAATAAGTCGACGTGTACATGGTTTAGTGTGAAATTGACTGATATTTTAATTAAATGATAGTTATTTTGTGAATTTTATGTTTGTAGGAATTTGGTATACGTTTTAGTTGAAGTAAACGTGCATGGAAATAATTTAAATATTTGACACTAAGTATTTGTAATGTTTGCGGTATGAATTCGTTGGTGACGTTTATAATATAATAGATAATTTAGAGGTAAAAGTTTTTAGATATTTTATTTATTTTATACGCGGAAACGTTCATATTTGGAAAGGGTATATAGTTTTTTGCGATGAGGTAATTTCATATATGTTCTTTTTACCGGGTTTAAAGATTCAGAAAATTGTCATGCATTTTCGTGAAATTTTTCTAATTTATGAGAAAAAAGCAGTGTACATGAATATAGTGAAGAGTGTGAGCAATGCCATTTTTATGCAATTCTGGGATGTTTTTTTAAGTAAAAATAAGTCGATGTGTACATGGTTTATGTGTATGTGTTATTGTGAAAACCGCGCAAGGAGTTTGCGATTGTGCACTTTTTCCCAATTTTGCAGTGAATATTTGTCATGATTAAGCAGTTTTGTTAGATAAAATTTCTAGTATAAGTGTAATTTGGCTAGTAGATTGTTGGAAAAAGTGTTCAGTAATAAAAAGAAAAGAAACATGTCTTTACTTCGTGAAGACAAAATGGCGGCGAAAAAAAAAAAATTGAGGGTTGCTGTAGCAGAGTTGGTCGCCAAATTTTCGCCAAAAAATCGCCAAGTTACCATAATCCAAAGTTCAACCGAAATTTCTGTGTTTTCAGTGTGGCACACAAAATTCCTTAACAGCATGCAAAAACTTTCAAAAATTATCTGAACTAGAATATCCATACTGCCATCACCACATAAATTCACAAAAATAAAAGTAAAAATTATCCTCCGTTGTGCCGGAATGTTGGTAGCATTTCTGCATGAATCTTTCTTACGACAAACCCATTCAAAGCCATCTGAATGATCTTTACGTTTGACCATAGGCATTTCCTTCGTACAAGCAAGACACTTATAATGACTACTAAGTAAATCTTCATTTATACACCAGTTAATTAATGCTTTCCCCCCTTGCATTCCAAATAATACAAAACTTCATATTAATCTCATCACATACAAACCATTTTTATGGTGTACAGCACAAAATAAGCAATGTACTTCCTAACTGACATCCAATGCAGAAATAAGCCCTTATAAATATTTTCTAATCAGTCAATTTCACCGCAATCATGCAACCAATCACATCATAATAGGGTTTCCAAAACATACAATTACTCAGGTTACCATAAATGAAACAACAATTTGGCAATAAATGAAACAACAACTTAATGATAACAGAATGGACAACCTAAAATATAGACTACCCAAAATAACTAGCATTATATCAATGAGCCAGTAACACCACCTAGAAGCCCTACATAAAAGGAAAAAAGTAGTCTCTTTTAAGTTTTCAAATTACATGTTTTCCTGCAATTTCCTTTGTATGGGAAGCTTCAGTATGCCTTGATGAAAAAAGGGCAAGTCATTCGAGCACGTTTCTGAGTTTGACACAGTAAGAATCAAAGATGCCATAGTGATGCAAATATAGAATTTATGGATCCAAAACAGATGGATATGTAGGATTTCACATTAATTAATCAATTTTGATTACCTGAACCTTTAACTTCTTTCCATAATCCTCATCAGAATGCAAATTGAATATTTAAGCTGATAGTTACAATGTTTTAGATTTAAAGCTTTAGCCTTGCACTGCAAATACATATTATTGCCAGCGCTGCCAATAATTCCGGCTTTAACCATTACCATAAGTAGCACAGTTACATTCTGTAGAATGAATGGCACCTTTTTTTAATTCAACTTTGGCCTTTGAAAGCAGAATGGAGCAATAACTTGCTTATCAGTGTACAAGGCTCAGTCAGAATCTGTGTTAGAATAGGCTATCTGCTGAGCAGCAGAATCTTTACAAGGCATCTACTGCTGTGATTACTGCTAACTCTTCACCAGAGGCATACATGCATTGAATGTAGAACATAGATAAATAAAAATTGCAATATTGTCTTTTCAGATGAATCTTGATTCTGTCTACAGTGCCACTATAACAGAATAACATTCTGAGAGCATCCCAGTAACAAACATCCATTTTACTCTGATACTTGCTGTATATGCACTGCCTGCACATTCAAGAGACAGCAATATGTTCCTGAAATAATGAAACCTTTAACCTTGCTACTACGTTTAAACAGGGCAATGTGCCCCTGCACGAAGCATAGCAACGTTCAACAAATCTTACCCACCATATCACATTGCTAGGCTTTAGTGTAGAATTGGGTGCCCCTTTGATTGGCGACATTGTTTTTTAAATTTTGGCGATGAAACCTCACTTCTGGTTATCACGATAGTTTTGTTTTAGCGTCCCAATTTTATTTAAATGAAAATAGATTGATGTGTACATGGTCATATTTAAGGCAGTGCGCAATGCCTAGTTTGTGCAATTCTAGGATGTTTTTTAAGTAAAAACAGATCGATGTGTACATGGACACAAATCTTATGCAATTCTTCGACTTCTTATTTTGGTTTTGTGTAGTGGCCATCTTGAAATTGTGACTTCCTGGTGCCGATCTTGGTGTAAAAAAAGAATCGCCAATAAACAAGGGGCACCCAAATGTAAACTTTTACCCATTGCTGCTATGGTCTTCTAATTCTTCTTGCACACATCCGGTTGATAATTAGCAAATAAGTGACTTTGCATTATCTCTGGCTGTGAAAGAATTTAGGGTGCTATTTTGGTAAAGCAGGTATTCACAACTTCTTTCTATCAATACTGAAGCATGTTGCTGAAGTTATTACCAGGCTTGGCTGCTACATAAAACACTAATTTCTTCGTGTTCCGAAAAACAACCAGAACTACAATTTCAAGCAAGACACCGTTGGGGGAAAGTGCAGAATCGCCCACTGCTTGGCGCGTTTTTAAGAGTTGCACATACTCGGTATCCATGTACACATCGACCTATTTTCATTTAATTCCAGAATTGCATAAAAATGGCATTGCGCACTTCCTTTACTTTATCCATGTACACATTGATCTATTTTCACTTAAAAAGTCAAAGAAAATTGACAAAAATCCAATTCTTCTTACTCTTGTAAAAAGCGCTAAACAAACGTCAATCAAATAAGTGGGGGATTCTGCACTTTAGCGGTGTTGTGCCTAATACTATTTGCTCAGTAAATATGCCTTTGTAAGCCGTTAATTTATAATATAAGATAAGCAAATTTACTCAAGCCAAATTAGCTCATATTCAGTTATCTACTGATGAACAAAATTTAACATAACCATAACTTACATTAAATGGATACAACATATGACAACTCATTAACTCACCAACAATCAGAAGTACATTTTTTTTTAAAGCAAAGGTTCCCGAACACCAACAAAAAGAATAAAATATGATAAAATAAACAAATAAAAACATTGCAACCGTTAACTATTTCAAATTTAAATATAAAGTATGATTGCAAGGAATTGTCTCTACGTAGTTACTGCCAGAATGTAAATAAACAAATATGCGGTTGTTAACAGCATTGTCAGTGTCAGCGCTAAATCCCCAAACGCGCAGGGAGGTCATGTGACATTCGAACTACGTGTAAGATGGTGTCACATCAAAGATACGCCCCTTAAGGCCCATCCACACGAGTACGCTCGAAACGTAGCTGACGAACGCGCTTTTACATTACCAGCGTTAGAGCCTTACCAGCTAGAGCTACTAGAGATACAGGCTGACTCGTCAGCCATTTTGAATCTAAGCTTTAGGGTTGCAATTTAGGTGTGGAGCGGCAACTTTGGCTCTTTAGCGCTGTCCGCTAAAATTTAACATTCTAGAGAATCCGAATTTCAGCTTTTTTCTGCACTCCTATAAAGATGTGTGGCTTTGGCTTTTTCCCCTTCTTTTGTCTGCAGTTCAGATTCTTTCTCGTATTTTTTTTTTTTTTAATTGCCAAATTTCTCGTATGATTCAAGTTATTTTAAAAGTTTCTAAAACATTTTCACATATCATATTTCAAATTTGTATTTTTAGTTAAAAATGCTTTCTTTTTGAATTCCTTTATTGAATTTTCTATTTTTTCTTTTAAATACACGCATAATGTTATTTATCTCAAAATGTATTTTTTGACAAGAGCTTTCCCTCAACCACATTCTTAATATGGTTGAGGGAAATCCCTCAACCTCCATTAATTTAGGATAAGTTTTAATCTTTAATTTTTGTTTTTTATTTTTAATATGTTATTTGAATTTTGCTCACATGGAATCAAACGTCTATTACTGTAGCAAATTTGTTAAAAATGTTATTTTGTGTGTGTTTCCAGAAAAAGCTGCTAAACACTTTATGATTTTAAATACTGATTCAGGATATACACCTTTAAATTATAATGCTTTTAGAATGAAGTGCAGAATGCTATAAAAATTACTTCAATGCTCAGATGACTGTGGGATTCATAGATTTAATAGAGTAAAAAATTCCATTAAATATATATTTTTTTTTCTTTATTTAGCTAAAACAATATTAAAATAATACACACACAAATAAATAAAAATAAAAATAATACCTTTACATACAGAATTTACAGATACTATTTACTTATAAGTTTATTTGTTGTTGATGGTTACTTTTTATTATACTTGGAAAAATTATACTTACATACATATGCTCTTAATATTACACGTATCTGAATATTTAAATGATAATTCCATAACATCAATAAGATTCAATCTATATCACAGCAAAGACAATACTTAAATCACAGTTCTTTTTATTAATTAATTTGCATAAGTAAAAACATAAAAATATTATTTAGCTTCAAATCTATAAAATAAGTCCTCTAGTAACAAACATATGACAAACACATATAGTGAAAATAAAGATAAATAAATAAAAATGTTTTGCTTTTTTGGTCTAATGTAGTGCAATTCAGTCTATTATATTCAAATTTTATTAAAACATACTGCAGTAATTGAATTTTTTCCATTATACATCAAACAGCTTTATATAGAATGATATTATATTAGTTTTACTTTTAAAACTAATATAATATAATTAATTGTCATTTATATGCGGAGATGTCTGAATAAATGCAAAAAACCATCTGAATAAATCTTAGCCAACACTATTCAGATAGTATTCTTGTTTTCAAGGTATATCATTTTTATTTTGTTCTTTTTCCATTAAAGGAGCTAACCTAAGAGACTTATTTCATTTATATATATCTCATTGATATATTATAAATATAGCTTAAACATGTTTGATGTGCATACTCAAAGGGGGTGGGAAGTAAGCCTTGATTCAAAATCTGTTTTAAAGCAATAAGTAAATAAATAAAATACACTGGTTCTATTAGAATGTCAAAAAATACTGTTATGTATTCTATAAACAAATCCAAATTATCACATCATACTACATAACCCTGGTACAAAAGAAGAAATGTCGGATTAGGAACATACTCTATTTATTTGGTAAAAAAGAAGAGTAAAACATATGCAACATCACCATTATGAAAAATCCTGCAAGCCATTACAATACTATAAGACATTGATTAGTAAGGTAAACATCAGTTGATCATTCTTTCACAACAGCAATAAATGTTTCATTTAAAATTCCTAATAACATGCCAAAACAGATTCACAATTGATGCCTCATTTAAGGTCACACAAAAGTAAATCCGATTTAGCTGACTATGAGATCTTCTATTGTAGAGGACTTTCTAAGGAGAACTGGCTTGTATTCACATTACACATGGGGAAAAACCACAAAAAAACCAACCATGCAGCCAGCCTGTTCGGAAATAGAACAGAAGATGGAACTCCCAGCATTCAGTAACTTTAACCATTCAGCTGTTGGTGGGCCTAATTATTATTCGAAGAGACAAACAGCAATTTTTCAGTGACAACTACTCTACTTTTTTACAGACAGAACTGAACAGCAAAAACTTCTTAAACTCTTGATTAGATTCTAGTTTACTTTCTTCCTTTTAAAAGCAGGAGATGCAAAACTTTGCCGCTGCTGCCTTTTATTTTGAAGAAGCTTCTTGAGACCAATTCCACGGGCAGTCAAATAATATTTTATTATCTTTGTTTTGATATTGCAACAGGAGGGAATATTTACCTCGCCTGCTTTCTTACAAATCATATTAACAATTTCCACATCCATAGTTACATTTCCATGTATTATTTCGTCTCGAAAATTTTGAATGATTTTTTTCACACAGAAGGCACAATTTAAAAATTTCTGGAGAAGGACATTTAAGCCCACCTAAATTTGCAAAATTAATTATGTACTGCTTATTTTCATCAATGGAAGGAGTATTTTGCTCACAAACTAAGAGAAACTGTGAGCATGAATTACAAGCATTTTTCAAAACAGAATTTATTGCAGCTCCTGCAATATAACAGACGTTATTTTCCTCACTAAGGGTGAGATTCTGTAGAGATACATCAGAAACTTCTGGTATGGTAACAGGCTCTAAAGCTTTTTTCTCCTTCAGAAATTCAAATTCATCTTTCGCATAGTTTAATAAGTAAATATCTGAATCAGTAGCATAACTGGAGTTCTTAATGTCAGATATAAACTGAGATAAACAGATAAGCTTTAATGCTTTCACAGCTTGCAAAGCACTTGGCCTCAAACCAGCTTTTCTGCGTATCTGAGAAAATACATTTTCTAGAGCATCTTGTGTCAATCTGCTCGTCAAAATAAACTGAAAATCATTCAGAAAACATGCCTCTGCTAACTGTATGGCTGATAAAGTAGAAAGAATCAAACCAGTATGTAATGGTTTCCACCCTTTACCAATTTCTATAAGCTGTATAACATTAATAAATTCAAAAAGTAACTCAATTTTTTTTTGCTTTTATTTGTCACAGAAATTGAGTTCTTTCTACATCTAGAGGATAGCATTTGAAACCACTGACATATAAATCTTATCCACCATGCTGTTGTAAGAGCATTAGGGCTTATCTCTTTTAAAGCTACTGCCTTCTCCAATCCCACAGCTGTTTTAATTGGAAAAAAACTCACAGCACAGCAGAAGCAACATTCATTTTATCAAAATGTGAGGGGAAGAGGTCTTCTTTGCTGAGATGATGCATAGTTCTCAAACCACAATTTTGGTTTGTTTCAGTAATCCAGATATCTTTTATAAATCCTGCAGATACATGCAAAGTAACCAAATTTTCTTTATTGCAAACATAACTGGGCAGTTTTTATACTATGATTAAGAGTTGCAGACCAGAGATTTTTTAAAAGATGTGGCACATCTGCAAATACATAAATAATTTTGCCCTTAATTTCAGTAGTGAAATTATTTCTTTGGTTTCGAGAAACAGATATTCCCAAAGAATTCCACAGGCTTCTATTTACTACTTACTGCTGCCATATCGCTAACAATACCAACAACATTAAATCCAACAGAATTGACAGCTTCGATAACATTGACAACAAGTTGTTTGAGCTGGCATCCTGTTACCTGTCCAGTTATCTCATGGGCAACCACTTGCTTCCATTTCAGCTTCAACCTCTTAGTAAAATAACTAAATAGTGATTTCCTGCACCCTTTTGATTTCCTAATGTACATTTACCAATAAATTTACGTTTTGAAATATCAAAATCAGGATTGCCAGAAATCTCCATTTCATCCAATGATAAAATACAGTCTTTATCACTAGCATTCATTTTTTCTCCTTTAATTTTCAAAAGTTCAATCATGTCACTGATGACTCCAAAATTCATTTCAAGACCTTGAAGTCTTTTATTTAAAGTGCTGTATGAAGGCACAGGAAAACCTATTCTGTGCAAGTAATTATAACCATGCTTGCCCAAGGCAAATCTAACTTTGAGGCCTTTTATTATTCCCTCCCTCGTTAGACCATTTTGCAATGCTTCTACGAGGAATTTTCAACATTGCTATTTGTTCATCTGAAAGAAATGTTTTCACTCCTTTCAGCAATTCCTCATGCTGTACTTGAAGGTCATGAAGTTGAATTTCAGTGCTATGCCATTTTTTTAAAACATTAATTTCATTTTTTTTTTTTTTTTTTTTGGTTGCTGTAAGTTCTTTCAGTAATATTTTGTTCTGGCATTGCAGAAGCGAGATCAATTCAGTCTGCTGTTTTATAAAATTCCTTAAAAGAACATCCTGGAATAAAGAAAAAATCTATATGAATAATCATCAAAGAAGGGGGGGGAACACAACAAACAAACAAAAAAGATCTGAAAGGTTTCAGATTTTAAATTACACCCAAAGGGGCCTTTTTTTAACATTTTGTGTTTTACCTTTATTTATTAAATATCAAGTTTTTCACACTTAAACTATAAAATTCACTTCAACAGCAATATTGCAAGATAATTTTAAAATGAACATATCTTCAGAATTCCCGATTCATTGTCTCACACGCTGGAGATAAAAGTGTCTTTTCTGTACAACATTGCCATTGCTCGCTTTGAAATCCTCAAGTTTGTTAATCAAAAATTCGTTAAAGTTTTACAACATATAAAATCTATATTAAAACAAATTCCGAATTTCAAATTCGGGCTTCCAGATGTCCATATTCACAGTAGAATTAAGTCATTCAAAATTTGATGGCTCTAGGTACCGTTGTTTTATCAGAATGCGAAAAACATACATGCATTTATGCAGATTCTTCACTATATAATTTCTTTAAATATAGTACAGGGTGATAATATTTGGTGGCAACAATTTGAAAAGTGATGCAGCCGTTTATAGTGTTTCAATACAAAACGAAAACAATAGTCCTTCAGGGACAAAGCCCCTTTGGATTAAATGCCAAACTTAAACAGATAATAAATCCACAAAATAAAAATGCAACTTCCAGGTCTCTTTCCCTATACTGTGGTGGGTTTTTAAATTTGACTCTATTGTTTTCAGCATTTTCTAGATTATTTTTGTTTTATTTTCTAATATTTAAAATTTATTTCACTTAAAAATAGATTTTTAAAATTTATTTCCAGCTTTTCAAGGGATCGATTATCTCCCAATCCATTTGAAATAGATCAGATTAAATTGAAATGCATCAAGCTGCATGCATTTTCAACAATTTTTTTTTAGTGTTAAATAAAGTTATTGCTGTGTTCCATCATTGGAGTTGCTTCATTTCGCCAAAGAAGTATCACAGTCTTAATTATTTTGGAGGCACCGACCGAGATCGAATAATCGTGCATATTTTTATTTCATTAGTTCATCACTGAACATAATATTAGTGATACCAGATTATTACTTCCTGTTAATATTGAATTGCTTTATTTTATTAGTTCATCACTGAACGCAATATTAGCGATACCAGGTTATTACTTCCTGTTGATATTGAATTGCCTTATTTTATTAGTTCATCACTGAACGTAATATTAGTGATACCAGATTATTACTTCCTGTTGATATTAAATTGCCTTATTTTATTAGTTCATCACTGAACGTAACTTCCTGTTGATATTGAATTGTCTTATTTTATTAGTTCATCACTGAACATAATATTAGTGATACCAGGTTATTACTTCCTGTTAATATTGAATTGCCTTATTTTATTAGTTCATCACTGAACGTAATTAGTGATATCAGGTTATTACTTCCTGTTAACACTGAACTGCCTTATTTTAATCGTTTATCACTTGAACGTAAACTTAGTGATACCATTTTAATGCCGTTTCTACTAGAGCTCAAAGGAAAAGAAAAATAGCTGAAGAGCAGATCTTGGAACCGATGAAGGAAGAAAATAAAGCATCCAGAGATGTATTTGAAGAAAAAGTTAAATCACCAGAATTAAACGTGGAAGATGTTCATGAAAATTTGAAAAACGATAAAGAAATTAATATTGAGAATCATTTTGCAATGCAGCGTTATCATCATCTTTCGGCTTTTGATTTAATATCAAAGCCGATACTAACACACGAAGAAAACAATTGTCGAAAGCAAATGACAAATGAATATTATCCGAAAGGCACAGATGAACTGAGGAAAGGCTTTGCTGTGAATTATAGCCAAGGAACTGGTCCACCATGGAAGAGATCTAGGCGCCGTCAAGAAAAAAAAGGAAGACTAATTTGAACACTGTCCATTTTCTTCTTATTTAAATGTGGTGTAAAAATATTTGTTTAAAACTTAAAATTTTCGGTCTGAAAATTTGGAAATTTATAAGAGAAATTACCTTTTCTCTTTAAGCATTTGAGCAAGCCGAGCTTATTAAACTGTCAAATTTTACAGAACTTTTCCCTTCGGAAAAAGTCTCTCCGTTGGGGGAGAGGTTGTAACAGCTTTAATATCGTTATTAATCTCTCGTGCATTTGAAATAGATAAATAATAAATAATGTACAGATTACTGGCAATATTGAAATGCAGGCTCGAGAGCTGCATGCATTTTCTCGCACGAAGCATGTAATTATTTTTTTTTTTAAATAAGTTTATAGAATATGTTTTCTCTTCTTGTTTGTATGTCGCCTTTTTTTTTTTTTTTTTTTTTTTTTTTTTTTTTTTTTTTTTTTTAGTGTTAAATAAAAGTTATTGCTGTGTTCCATCATTGGAGTTGCTTCATTTCGCCAAAGAAGTATTACACTCCATAATCATGAGCAATTTAATAACACAAATTATCAACTTATATCACAGCCTTCACAAATGCTGATGAAATTAATTACAATTTGGTTGCAAGATGAGACTAAAGGTTGTTTTTGCGAACAAAACTGAAATTTACATAGAGAATTTGCAACTATTGATGAAATTAATTACATTCCTTTTACCAAAAAATTACTTTATAGAACATTTTAAATGTATATAAGGAAGCAATTTAATTAATTATACATTAGTTATAAACTTACATCAGAGCTTTCACAAATAGATGGTATTTCATTGCAAAATGAGGCTAAAGGCTGTTCTTGCAAACAAACCTGAAATGTACACAAAGAATTTGTAAATGCTGATGAAATTAATTACATTCCTTTTACCCCCCCCCCCCCCCCCCAAAAAAAAGTTTATAGAAACGTTTTGTATAAGCAAGCAATTTAATAATACACTAATTATCTACTTACATGAGATCCTTCACAAATAGATGGCATTTTATCACAAGATGAAGTTGAAGCTTGTTCTTGCAAACAAACCTGAAATATATATATAAGAAATTTAGAAATACAGATAATATAAACTACATTCATTTTAAGAAATAATTATTTTACATAACATTTTATAATTCATAAATAGATAATAAATTGTTAACACTCAAAATTCAAAAATAATTCCATAGCACAACAGCCAGATATAGTACAGCTGTTTAGGAACCATAAGACAAACAATTTCATATTTCAGAAATCGTATAAAAATTCATCAATATATGTAAAACATATGACATTTAATAGCTGCTCAAATGATCACATAGCATAGATTCTTTACTAGCAGCTGTTATTTAATCAGAAGGTAATGCTAAATGTTGTTGCAAACACACCTGAGATGTACTGTAATGTACACATTTGCAACCACTGGTGAAATGAAACAAAGTGCATGATTATGAAGATGGAAACATTTAAAGAAACATAGTACAGTTTACGAATAGATGTTAAAAAACTATTGAAATTTTTTAGAAGTGCAAAATGGCAATTTACATCAAATACTTCGGCAGCAAAATTTATTTCTCCAAAATATGAAGCTGAAGGTTGTTGCAAATGAATCTAAAAGAAATTATAATATATGAAATATGTGGAAGTGAAAGAAATTATAAACTCTGATCAGATAAAAATAAATACAAATAATCATTACCATTTTAAAAGTAACTTTCAACTTATAAAAAAGCATAAATACATTGGACTGTTCATAGCATTCATACTTCTTAAACATAAGTAATATTACGTTAACAATTTTTAAATTTT